CTCAACGCAATAAATCAAACTGTTGTTTTTGTTCGGTCATAGAATTGGGTGGAATTCGAGGCCTCCGGCCATACCTCCTTGCCGACATCACCTGCGATCCAACCTTAGATCAAATTTTTGCACTACGTCACTTGGAACATTTTTTTAGTAAGCGTGCTTCATTCCACGCAACGCTGTAATATTTCAGTCGAACTATCGAGATATTGGATGTTTGCTAAAAGTGTTAATATGCATGACAAATATTTGTAGGTGTCCTCTATGCGGGTCTTATCGTAACCGATAAAGGTGTGCAAGTATTGGAATACAACTGTCGTTTTGGAGATCCAGAAACAGAAGTTTTGTTGCGCTTATTGGATTCAGATCTGTACACGATTCTGATGGCGTGTTGCGATGAGAGACTGCATTCAGTTGATGTGCGATGGTCAAGCGATTACGTCTGCGGTGTTGTACTCGCAGCTGGTGGTTATCCGCATTCCTATCCAAAAGGCAACACGATCGCAGGTTGATTCAATNTTGCTATTTTCAACTCAATCAATTGTTGAAAAAGTTCACATGAGAACTTGTACTCGTTCTATCCTCATCATAACCTAAACAAAATATGTAAAATTGTCAAGAATTCATCTTATATTATCTGAAGTGATAGCAATTTGTTCTTAAGGTATTCCGAATGACAACAAGAATACTGTTGTATTTCAAGCTGGAACCAAACGAATCGACGGCAAATGTAAAATTTTTCTCCTGTGAACATATTCTCTGATGCTCTCAGCATGTGAAATGCTCATCAGCTTTCACGAGAAATATATGAATTCAGTCTTATTTCATTATTTTTCAAAGTCATCAACTTAATTTACTGATTAATTACAACCGTTGATTCAAAGTATTTTAAAGCCTCTCACTTGGTGATTTTGGACCAAGGAAAAAATCCGTGGAAGTTAGGAGTAAAGGTGAATAAACATTTCACTCAGTCTCGCTGATGATGATTTCATTTGCGCTGAGTTGGGAAGGGAATTGTCTTTCTGATATGATACATCGTTCAATTGGTTACAGTAAAAACAAACGGTGGACGGGTTCTATGCGTTACANCTTTCTGATATGATACATCGTTCAATTGGTTACAGTAAAAACAAACGGTGGACGGGTTCTATGCGTTACATCGAAAGCACTTTCAATGGATGAAGCACGCAATCTTGCTTATGATACTGTGAACAAAATTGATTTCGAAGGAAAAACGTTCAGAAAAGATATTGGATTGAAATATGCAACTAAAAGGTTGTTTCTTACGTTGACATTCGTCATTCGGAAAATTACTCTCAATAACACTCTCAATTACTCAGTGCTAATGTCTTGTGATTTCATCAACATATTTCAAACGATAAGTCATCACGATAAGTTTTTATTTCATGCTGTACAGAGGTAAACGGACGTTTTTGTACCTTAAACAATTGACATGCTGAATTTTGCCTTTGATCTTCAGAACACTAGCATATGCAGATAGTGGTGTGAATATCAGCGAAGGTAATTTGCTAATCGAAAAAATAAAATCGATCTGTTCACGAACCAAACTTCCATCAACTGACTGTGTATGAATTTAGATTTTTTTCGTTTGTTCTTCATTCAATTCAACAATGTAGTTTTCTGTATTCATTCGGATTTTATTCATTGTGTATCATCTCAGAGTTTAATAAAATCATTAATATGATTCATGCTCATTATCTGTGTTAGTTACTTGATATAAAGTCTTAGTTTAATGATCTTCATGANTTAATATGATTCATGCTCATTATCTGTGTTAGTTACTTGATATAAAGTCTTAGTTTAATGATCTTCATGAGCCTTACGCATTTCCAGTATGAGTTTATTCCAGTTCACGTTAGAAGTTGATTACTGAAGATACCAATTTTCTAAAGTCCCAAAGTGCTGAAGTACCATATTCTATTTCTTTAAATAACCTGATTAATCACGAAATAAAACACGGAAAATTTTCATCTCCGGGGCTCCCAATCAAAAAGGCATATCACCTTCCGTCTTTCCGCGAGAACATCATCGTATCGCATGTGCTGGAGATGATCAGGATATCACTTCCTGCGGAATAGTGATCATCTTCAGGCATTATACACTTTGCTCATTCAGCCATCTACTGAGTTTGCAGAAATGAAACAATACGTGAAGTTCTAGATGTTAGTGCAAAATGTGATTTGCTTTTAGATTGGTGGATTTGGTTCTGTTATCGATTTGTCGGTTGCTGGTTTTAGTAATGCGCAATTGGTGATTGGAATGGACGGTGTTGGAACCAAAATTGCGGTAAGCCTTCAGTTTTTTCGTCACCGATAAATTCACAAATGAGATGCGTGATTTTCATCACAAACCCCAAAATGACATCTGATCAGCGAATCAGTGAATTCAGCGAAAGCTATCATTGAATGTTTCACCAAATAACAGACTAATAATACCAACACAAACGGAACGCTCGAATAGTACTACTGAAGCAGTTGTGAGATATTGGAATACTGTAGGAATGAGAATATATTAATAATTTTTGAAATTTGTTTACTCTCAAGTTAATTTTGTGATTTCTTGGAAATTTGTCGATGTCAGTTATTTTTTATGCGATAAGCTGAATGTGAGAGACACAAGAACGAGATTTTTTGTTGAAATTATGCTCAATAAGGTGTTACTGCAAGCGGTAGGACGAATACCAAATGTCATTCAGTTGTAAGTGAATGTTCGGTATCAAGAATTGGTTAACTGAAATATTTTAGATAGCTGATGAGATGGGCGATTATTCGGGAATAGGATACGATTTAGTTGGTATGTGCGTCAACGATGTGTTATGCCACTGCTCACAGCCACTGGCATTTCTTGATTATTATGTTTGCGGTCAACTGAACGCATCCACTGCCGCAAACATCATCGATTCAATCGCTTCTGCTTGTCAGTCATCGAACTGCGCTCTCGTCGGTTGGCGACTTTTAATGACTTTTATTGCCGTCCCTTTGTGTTACGATCTCCTTGTAGGGTCGGGTCGAAACCCCACGACATTTTCGGGCTCTTGGACCTAATCCCAATCTAACACTATCNTGCTCTTGATCGAGTGTGCGCAATTTTGAGGTGGTGAAACAGCTGAAATGCCTGGTGTCTACAGTCGTAATCAGTGGGATTTAGCGGGAGTTTGTGTTGCTGTTCGAGATCCAAAATGGCCGTTGCTACCACTAAAAGAGAAGTAAACGATAGTTTTCTTAATTTTTAAAACGATTTTTTTCTCTCAGCAAACATCGTTAGCAATCGAAATCAATAACGAGATGATTTATTGCGTCAAATGTTCACAAAGAGCAAAACTGAAAAATTTTCAGAATTACCGATGGTAATGTTTTAATTGGTATAAAATCAAACGGTCTGCACAGCAATGGCTATTCGCTGGTTCGTAAGATCATAGAGCGATATCACATTCAATACGACCAAAAGTGTCCATGGAATGAGGATTTTACAATCGGTTGTTGACTTCGACTCGATTTTTGAATTGGATTACGATCTGTTTTATTGAGTGTATTATTTGTCAAACAGTTCTCTCTCAATATAGCAACGAACGTGTTTAGGCAAAAAGAGTTTCCGGAAGAGATTTCTAAAGCTGAACTGAATTAAGGTGATGAACTGCTGCGGTCAACTCGTATTTACGTGCAATCAGTACTTCCAATATTNTCACATATAACGGGAGGTGGATTGCAAGAGAATGTCAACAGAATGCTTCCGCATCACACAAAAGCAGTCATTGTAAACACTTTCTGAATTTATTTCATTATTTATTGCACTCAACTGCGCGCTGCACGTTCACAGCTGTTCAAAGTTAGACTTATATGTTCAGAGTATATATTCGTAACTGAGCAACAGTCATTCGTAATTTACTGACATGGGATGGGCAATACTGAATGATTAGGTCAAAATTTGTATCAATTACAATCAAAAGTTCAGACGTTTGGTCGATTCTGACAATGAGGTGGAGTTTCATGGATGTGTCGTGAAGGAAGTTTTACTCTACTCCTTAAATTGAATCATTTAAATAGCAATAGGGATTATTTCATTAAACCATTGCATTTCTCCATATTATGAATAACAGGATTGTTTGTCATGGCCAAAAGACGAAATATTTCAATGGCTAAAGAATATTGGACCAGTTGAGCCATGCGAAATGATGAGAACATTCAATTGCGGTATTGGAATGGTGCTTGTGACGAAAGACGAGCACACGAATCAGGTTATGGAGTTGTTGACGAACAACGGTGAAAAAGCTTTTATTATTGGAAAAACTGACAGGCGATTGAAAGGTTGCTTCTTCAATATGTCAACTTTCGATTCGTTTTCATTTTGAGCCAACAATTGTAATCGCTTTGTAGAACGAAATGTAAAAAAAAGAAGACACATATTGAATTCAATTAACACCAAAAATTACATCAAATGATCAGTGTAGAATTGATTTGAGCTGAACAATTTTGAGTAATTTGTTGACAAATTATCCTTTGCACCGACCGCCATAAAAGGTATCCGATATAAGAGCGGATTACTTCATTCATTGAATGAACGAATACTAATGAAATTTTATTTGAAGTTGTGATATCGCCCATTGAGATGATGAATTCAGCTAGCCATTTCTTAGCCTTGACTGTTCAGATTTCTAACTGAAGCCTTTTTTAGGAGAAGATCAGATCGAGTTACTCAATTTACGCAGTTGTTTCAGTGAGAAATACAGTTCACCAGTACCGAAGAAAAAAATTAACGTCGCAATTCTTATCTCTGGAACCGGTTAATCTATTGCCATTACTTTCAAATTATGATAAACGAAAGCTTTACGCTAATCAACTAAAATCACAACTAAATCATGCTTGAATTTGTTTGACTTCACGAAGGGATACGAATAGAGAAAAGACGAACATTTTCGATGTTTTCGTTCACTTCTTAATTAGTTTCGATCGACGTTCAACGGAACAACTCCATTCGCTTAAACTCAGCATCCGAGAAAAACTTGAATTACTTCGAATTTATGAATGAAATTCAATGGACAAGAAAAAAACTGAAAAAAGTTGAGGCTCAAATATGATGCGATTGATTGAAAGCAGTCTTGAACCGATGAGTGAATGTCGAATTGCTGTTGTCATAAGCAATGTATCTAACGCGAAAGGTATTCTGACTGCACAGTCAATGGGTATTCATACAAAAGTGATTCCAAGTAAAGGATCGTCATCAAGAGAAGCTTTCGAAGCACTCATCACCCAGGTTCTTTTGCTGACCTTTTATCCACTGATCAGAATTCCAACTCACGTCTCATAAACATGCCGAGACACTAATAACTATACCCTCGTTCATTTCATGATGACGAAACGATTAGAACAATGTGAATATCGACGAAGTACGTAGCGAATTCTTCATATAAAAAAATTTTCAAGGAACTGGAACTATGTGAAGTGGATTTGATTTGTTTGGCTGGATTTATGCGCATCTTAACAGCATCGTTCGTGAGACGTTGGAATGGTCATATAATAAATATTCATCCATCCTTATTGCCCGCATTCAAGGGCTCTCAAGCGGTACCACTTGCCTTGCAGCACAAAGTCAAAATAGCCGGATGTACTGTTCACTTCGTCAATGTATGTGTTTTTGATGTTTTAGACGGTTTCAATTATTTTATATTGCTTTTTTCAAAGTTGTTAATAATTTTACGTTTAATTAGGTCCAGATTTTGAGAATACTATGTGCATAAATTAAATGTTATCTTTATTGAAACACTCGAAAAATATTTTGACTCAAATGTGAAGAGATGCTTCATAATGAATAAGTCAGTAGATGATCAATTAACAGTGATGCATTTTTCAAGGGTTGAAAAATCTCATTGAAAGTTTTGCATAGAGATATTCGTACCTTCTGACCTGTTGAATGTTTGAATAACTTTAATTTCTGCTTGAGAATTTAACTCATTCAATAGTAATGATCTAATGAGAACAATTTGGATGATGTTTTTTGGTGAAATAAG